TTTGTTTTGTGTTGTTTTTGTTGTCTCTTCCTCAAAATAAAGGACGAGGAATCTGATGGGAATAAATTCACTCATCTAATTTGCATATCGTGACATCACTTATCCATACCTACAGCTACAGAAAGCATTCAAACATCAAAACGTTCAGCTCTGTAAGGATTTTCTGATGTTTGTGGCAACATGTTTGATATTTCTAAATAATTCACAGTGACGACATAAGCTGGGGGCCGAAATGGGCGAGAGTGCGAGGTCCCGCCAAACACTTTGTTTTTTTTAAATTTTTTGGTAGATTGGCTTATGGGGTGATTTTGAAGGAGTAATTAAGTTAATCTCATAAGTGGATGTAATATGTAGAGATGCCATCTAGGCCGTTTTTCTTCATTTTGTTTTTTTTAAAGTCTATATTTTGCTTTACAAAAACGTGAAAAAGCAGCTGTGACCAAGCTATCATGAGGTGAGTAGCATTGTAAGCATAATTAATAGCGATATACTTCAGTTTGTCTGTGTGTTTTTGTATGCAAGCGGGTCTGCTGCGGTCTGCTGACAGTCCAAAATGGCGGCGGTAGGACGAAACCATGGGTGAGTCTGTTGCTATGGGGCGTTCTATTGAGCTTCGCCTCTTGGTATCCATGCTCTTTGATCGCCATCACTTTTCAATGAATGAAACACCTAGTCCTGTTCTGTGCTGCAAACAGTAGGATTTTTTATCTTGTGGTCATCTGAAATTATATGAATCAATTTGAAGAAGCAAAATGGCTGACACGCAGACATGTTAATTATGAATTTAAATAATAATGACAATAATAATCATCATAATCATAATCATAATAACAAGAAAAAAAGTTCTTGAAACACTTCCTAATTTGTGTTTGGCTTGGACTGGCTTTTAAAAAACATTCCACATTTGTCTCACATTTTTCAGATACTTCTGTGCTCTTCTCACAAAAATCAAATTCTGTAAAGTGGCTGGTGTAGCTCATTTTTATGGCTCCAAAAGAACTGCTGCATTGAAATGGCATTAGCGTCAAAATGTCAAAATACCACCACTGTCTTTTAAATCACAATTGAAAGATCAGATCACAGGCCTACTGTAGTAATACTATTACTACTACTACTAATGCAGGTACTGGATTTTCTCTAATAATTATGTAGCACCTTAGTATTACTTATTGCACTTTTCATATGTATTTTTTTGTATTTTCTATGTATTTGACACAGATTGTGAGAGACACAAAAACAGCCAGTTGCATTCTTATTATATTAATAATTATACATAATTATACATATTATATAGACGATGGTAATGAGGAGGAACATACGGTGTCTAGCTCACTCTCCAGGTTACAATCTTCCAGTTTGTTGCTGAGTTCAGCAAACTGCTCTGGGTATGTTGCATTCAGTTTCTCAATCCAGTCACTGACATTGTTCATGGTGATACTGTCCTCTGCTAGATCAAAGGCATTCAGTAGCAGTAAGCGTGTCCTGGAAGAGGGAAAAAAAAAGGACAATTACATGAACACTATCATGACCCTGACTTTCACCCAGCAGGGTCCTTCACTATTTGCTGAGTATAGTTTAGTATTACATCAACACTTTGTTCAAGAAATTGAACTTATATACGAAGGCTAATAAGATAAATTTTGGAGTAAATAATATGCCAAAAATGTTTTAACTCAATGTCCGCCTGATAGCTTTTACCAGACACAGTTATTTCGTCCAAGAGATGATCTGAAATACTTACAGATTGTGTTCGAAATAAAAAGAAAAAATATACAGCTTTGAACCACCCCCACTACTTTGCGAGTATATTATCACCAGTAAAACTCCTAATTAAAATATTCAAAATAATATCCACATGTGATCAATCCATTTCTGTTTTAAAAACAAGCTGGGAGCAGGACCCATCTAGTTCTGTACAGCTATATGATGTTCAGAATAGGATTCACAAAATCTGAAATCTGTTCAAACAGCACTCACCACTGCTCACCAGTGAATCAATTCTGCCAAGAGATTGCTAAACTTGGCATTCAATCCGCTGGGCTGCTGTATCCCCCTGTCCTCATCACTCTGTTTACTGTGAGATACTTAACACTTAATTACAGAAGTTCAGTAAAGGTTCTACTCCTCATGGCTCTTTACCATCGCCAAGAAAAAAATAATGAGAAATCAATAAAGTCCATAAATATTTCAAATTGGACAAACCTACATACGGACCATACCTCCATGGAGAAACTGTCCACCTCCTAAAAAAAAAAAAAAAAATGCCTGAGAGGAGACAGATGTGTCAGAGCCCGAGCAGAGCCCCAGCAGCTGCATCACATCCTGCAGTCAAGACTCCTACTAAGACTCAGTTCTTCCAAGTCCACCTTGCCAGATTGTTGAGGCTGCTCAGTCAGTCTGTGTTTCCAGCCTCTCTTGTTGCACATCAGTTGTCTGTTACCCCATCCTAATCCTGTTTCTCCTCTCCCTGCTGTTCCAACTGCTTTGCTCAGGTCCCTGTCTCCAGACCTGCCATGGATCCCCACTCAGCTCAGCTGCTCTGCTGATTCCCTGTTAGACAGCTCAGCTTAGTCTTCCTCCTCTCTAGGCAACCTGCTCAGCTCAGCCCAGGCTTCCCCTCTGCTCAGCTAAATTCCAGGCTTACATCTGTTCTCTTCTTGGGAATATGGCTAAGAAGGAAAAGCGGGTCGCCGCTAATTGGAAGATCAGTGCCTCAATTTCTGGCTCCTCTAGTCTGCATGTTGAAGTATCCTCACGCAGATACTAAACCTTAAATTACTGGTGTGTTAGTGCTTGTGAATGTTTAAACTGAGTAGCAGGTGGCACCTTGTATGATTGCCTTGAATGAATGTGTGTGTTGTAATGTGTCTATATCGCTTTGTTCTTTCTTTTTGGCTTGTGTGAGTTACCTTTTCATAAAAAACAAACAAACCCGACAGCCCAAAAAATAAATCAATGAAATTACTTGCGGCTCTAGAGTCCGTGTATCATTCGTTCATTCCATTTTCAATTTAAAATCAAAAATCAAAAATCAAAAAACGAAAAAATTGTTTGTTTTTTCATTATTCGTTTAATAATCAAATTCATTGTTTTTCTTATTTTTGATTTAATGCTCACATCAAAGATAGCAAATCGAAAAATGGGTCACGATTGAAATTTGATTTTGATTTTTCATTTGATCCAACTTGTGTGACCCCAGACTATTTTTTATGGAAGCGCATTGCATTCCCTGGAAAAAAAAAAATTTGAAATCTTATCTCGTAATTACGAGATAAGGATCTCGTAATTATGAGATTAGATCTCATAATTACGAGATCAGGATCTCGTAATTATGAGAAAAGATCTCGTAATTACAAGATAAGATCTTGTAATTACAAGATCAGGAAAGGTGCCACATTGGCCACTGCTTCGCTCAGAACCACATACTGCACATCCACGAAGGGGGGTCGGAACTACTGTAACCAGCTGCCACTCGGGTGGTTCCAGCTTGACTATATCCCATATCTTTATTATAATGTGTATATATTGTAAATTACGACAGAGTATTACACTAAGCAAAGAGATGTTACAACAGTGCGCACCGTATATATTTTGATCTATTTCATACTTCAGATTTATATTGTTTAGCATTAATTGGTGACAGAAAAGAACGAATTTCATTCTGCAGGGAAACGCGTGTCCTTACTGTGCATATTGAATCTTGAATCTATGTTTTATGAAGACCCTATCTGTGCTCAGAGCTGTGGCACAAGTTACGCACCGAAATCTGACAGAAGAAAAATAATAATAAGACGAAAAATAAGTAGGCTGTGTGTGACTTATGCGCTGATTAAGTGGTGGGTGATCGATTTGCCTGACATCGATTGATTTAGTTTCAGCACCGCGGTAGTGGCCAGCTCCTGTTAAGATATAAACAGAATGAAAGTGGACAAGGTAATTACAGAACTTGTCTTGAGAAATAGCTTTCAAATTGACTCAGAGATTAAATGCATTTTCAATAGAGGCAGCTTTTTAAATTAGACTATTGCTTTCTTTTCACTTTCTGCATCCACTTAAGATCGCTCTTTAAGAAGCTCTTAACAGGAGCCGGCCACTACCACGGTGCTGAAACTAAATCAATTGATGTCAGGCACATCGATCACCCACTACTTCATCAGTGCATAAGTCACACACAGCCTACTTATTTTTTGTCTTATTATTATTTTTCTTCCACCAGATTTCAGTGCGTAACTTGTGCCACAGCTTTGAGCGCACACAGGGTCTTCATAAAACATATAGATTCAAGATTCAATATGCACAGTAAGGACACGTGTTTCCCTGCAGAATGAAATTCGTTCTTTTCTGTCACCAATTAATGCCAAACAATATAAATCTGAAGTATGAAATAGATCAAAATATATACGGTGCGCACTGTTGTAACATCTCCTTGCTTAGTGTAATATTAATGTGCCTGCCAAGGCTGGATCTGTGAGCATTTGGTCGCTAAGAAGAGTGTTAAGAGTGGGTCAGCTCGATCTTACAACTCCTTCTTAGTGATCTGGGAAACGCGGCCATTATCATGTCAACATACAGGGAAAATGTGTCCAGAGTTTATGACATTTACCGGGAGAGCTAGAGCCTTTTGACTAAAGCTGACGTTATTACTGCTGTAGCATGATGTTATTAGGCTAAATACTACATTTCTAACAGTGTCTGAGCTGATTTATTGACACAGCATGCTTGTAGGCTGCTGTAACGTTAGGTTTACAGAGGAAATAACGGGAAATAACGGGATGTGATCGGGTGAAATTTTTGAAATAAGTTTGTGCTCTACAGAAAGGATCAGCACTCAGTGAAAAACCTCCTAAGCCCTATGATAAGCTATTATGGCAAGGCTTAACTATACAGACCAGTAAGCAGTGATAACTAACATGTCTTTGGGGTCATCGGGTGGGAACCTCCTTTCACCAGTGTTTCATCTAGTTGGTCCCACAACACCTCCAGGAGGCTAGACAGTGATCTCTGGCGTCCCAGAGACACTCCCCTAATGCCAGGTCTCACTGCTCCCCGCACCAACCCAATAACCTCCTTTACCTTACTTACACATGGCTTTCTCAGCCCAAACAGCACTGCCACCTTCAACCAAACCCAGGCTCCATACATGCGAGCTCCAGGTAGTGACAGTGCCGATACTACCTATCCTAGCACATTCACCATACTCCATTTCACACATTACATAGCATAACTCCAATATAAGCTAAAGTTAAAGGAGACAGATAACTCACAGGATCAGCAAACACACTCACCTTGCAGCATGGTCTCAAACAAAAGGGATTCAAATAGGCCACTCCCACACTTAAATAACCTTCCTCTTCCTGGATTTCCTCCTGAGAGGAAGTGGATCTCTCCACCTGATCTCAAGGAGTTATGTACTCTGCTTAGTAGTTCCGCCTGCTGGCCCCCAACTGACATTATTTCTTCTCACCCAGATCCATTGGCTTGCTCTACCTGCTTCATCTGACATTTCCTTCACTGTCTTCCTCAAACTCTGTCCCCGCACTCCGAGTTCCCCCAGGAGCGAGTCAGCTGATCTTGCTATGAATCCCCTACACCCCACTTCCACTGGACAAATCCTAGTTTTCCATCCTCGCTGCTCAGCTTCTGCTCCTAAGTCTGCATGTCTAAGCTTTTTTCTTTCATAGGCTTCAAGGTTCAAGGAGTCTTTATTATCCCCGTGGGGCAATTTGTTGTACAGCCAGCAGTAATAAACAAACAATTAAACAACAATCACTCAGACAACAATAAATAACCAGAGACAACAAAAAAAAATGAAGAGCAGGTCAGTCACTTATTCAGGAGAGCAATGGCAGCAGGGACAAAGGAATGTTTTAGTCTGTTAGTCCTGCATTTTGGCAGGATGTACCTACGCCCCAACAGACGAACCCTGCAGTCTGTTTTTGTTTCTGAGGGAGAGGGAGCCGTACCAACAAATGAAGCTAAAGGTGAGGATGGATTCAATAAAATGAAAGTAAAACATGCGCATAAAAGTGCTATCAACATTAAAATTACACAGCTTCCTGTAAAAATACATGCACTGGTGGGCCTTTTTACACACAGCATCAACTTGAGTTTCGAAGGTCAGCTTGTCATCTACATAAGTCCCAAGGTACTTGTAATTGTTGACCAGCTCCACTGCTTCATTCTCAATCATAACAGGGGAGATGACTGTGGGATTTTTCCGAAAGTCAACCAACATCTCTTTAGTTTTTGCTACACTGATATGTAGGAAGGAAGAGCTGCACCAGTCCATGAATTCCTTCACTACAGGTCCATGCTCCAGGTCATCACTGCTCAGCAGGGACACAATGACAGAGTCGTCTGCAAATTTAACAATGTGTCGCCCCACATGTTGACTCCGGCATTCATTTGTATATAAAACAAATAATAAAGGTGAAAGAACGCAGCCCTGGGGTGATCCAGTGGAGGAGACAAGAGTGTCTGACAGAACACCATTAACCCTCACATGTTGTGGTCTCACTGTTAAAAAGTCAATAACCCAGGCTATAAGACCAGGATCAATGTTATGGGAGTTCCTTAGTCTCTCTGCTAAAATGTGTGGCTGAATGCAATTAAAAGCGGACGAGAAATCAATAAATAAAAGACAGGCAAAAGACTTGGCTCCCTCAAGATGAGTTAGAACAAAGTTCAGCAGGGTGCCAACTGCATCTTCAACACCTCTGCCTGACCTGTAGGCAAACTACAGTGGGTCCAAGTTATTTTGGACACAGGTCAGAAGAGACTCCTTCACAATTTTTTCAAATGACTTCATAACAGTGCGACATGTCTGAAGTCATTTAGTGATATTGGAGATGCAGATGTGGGTACTGGAACTATAATAGAATTCTTCCAGAGTGAAGGGACCTTGTGAAGCTGGAGGGACGTTGAAAAAATAAAACTAAAAATATCTGCCAGCTGGACAGCACAGTTCTTGAGGACCCGACCTCCAGTGCCATCCGGGCCTGGACTTTTCCTCTCCTTGACACACTGAAAAAGTCTACAAACTGTGTTCCTGTCAACAACAACACTGTTCTGTGAGGAGAGGAGTGTTTTTAAAAACTGACAGTTCATCATTAAAGTCACAGGCATTAAAACGGTTATAAAAAACTGTTCAGTTCATCCGAGAGGACCAGATCAGGCTTCCCATTAAAGGGCCACTGTGTAAAATGGGTTGAAAACTGTTTAAAACAGTGACATCAGTGGTCAA